AAGAAAGGCCTGGTGATCTGTTTCCATAAAATCACAGCCAAGAAAAACCTACAGAGCAGTTATACTCTGTAACAATGGGGTGGCCGTGAGTAAGATTCAACTCAAAAGCAACAGATCTGATTTTTGGTTTGTTATCCCAAAGGCTGTCTAAGCACCCACATGGATCATTGTTATCAACGTGTAATGAGACTGAAGCAGTTAACACAGTTTATATAGAGCTACTTCCTTGCTTGACAATAGTCTTGGAGAGGTAGTATTTGAAGGAGAGACAACAGGACAGTAGTGTTATCACATATATATACTGAGTTGTTTAGTTTGCATCTCTTCATTTGTATGTGTACCTATTAGAAACAAAATATTATAATTTAGTAGGGAGGAAACCATTGCCTCCTCCTCACCTAGTGGATGAAGTCAAGCTTCTTAGCAGAGCATATAAGGTGCTCCCCTACCCTGTGTCAACATGCTCTGCAGCTTCCTCTCTCCATATACCCTGGTTGAACTGATTTTATTTCCATACCAATTGTCTGCTCTTTCCTTTGATTGTTCTATGTCCTGTGATGACTTGTGCTGTTCCAACCTAATTAAGCAGAGACCTGCATTTCCCAGAACCTTGTTCCCTATATGGTTTTCGGTTAGAGATGGCCCGAAGAGGAACTTGTGACAGATTTGGAAAGCAGAAGTGCAGCTGCAGTCACTACTCTGTGAAGGTGTTTCCAGGCAGATAGGGTGATGGACAGACACAGAGTACTGACAGGTTCCAGCTTGGCTTCATCCTTTTCTTCCCTGTGCCAGGCTCTTCCTCCTGACACTGGCACTGCTGACCCACAGTGGCCACAGATTTACCACCAAATCCCTGGCTAAGGACCCTCAGAGGTAGTAGCTATCCAGAGGCAACAGTGACTATAGACCTCTTCACTACTTCCACCTTAGCAGCTCCACTTCAGTGGTTGGACTTTCTTGCCGTCTCAGATTTCCCTGAAAGCTCCAACTTGTTCACTTATGCTAATCTTCAGAAACGTTAGCTTAGTTGTCCCTTCTCTGATACTCTAACTCCCCTTCTAGACTCTCACTTCCCTAGCTCTTCTCACAATTCTAATAGAGGTTCTGGTTCCCTCACTGAACCCTCGTGATTCATTCCTTTGGCTTATAATGTAGGCATCCTTCCCTAAATCCCAATCTGGGTTAAATTTTTATCCTCCATACTCCCATAGCATCCGGTGGCTAACTCTATCATGACACCTATTACACTGCTGTATAATTGAATACTTATTTGTCTGTCTGTCTTATTAAATTGTAAGCTCCTTGAGGCCAGGGTCTGAGTCTTAGTCATCTCTGAACCACAAGCACCCAAAGCAGCACTTGCCACATATTAAAAAAAAAAAAAAAATGCTGTCAAGTTGAATCCAACTCATAGGGACCTTACAGTACAGAGTAGAGCTGTCCCACTGAATTTCCAAGGAGTGTCTGGTGGATTTGAACTGCTGACCTTTTGGTTAGCAGCTGTAGCACCTAACCACTGTGCCACCAGGGCTCATATTAAGTGCTTGATATATGTTCATTGAACAGATGGCATTCTATACAGAGAGAAAGGTCTCCATGGCACTCACCATCCTCTTGAGTTAATGGCCACTCTGTTCAATCTAGGAGAGTCCTGGAAAGAGGAGAGTTCGGTTAGGAAAGAGGATGAGAAGCTTCACTTCTCCTTGGACTAGCCTAGGAACAGCAAATGGAGCTGTTTTGAGAAACAATTGAGCTACTGTTCATGGTCACTCTTTGTAAATTGTAAAAGTCCTTTATTAAGATAAGGGCTAATGATGACCACAGCATAAACTTCCTCTTGCTCCTTTGTTTATTTTTTATTTAGTTATGTTTCTAGTGGGCAAAAGAAAATGCTGGGCTAAAGGAAGGACCACCCCACAGCCTCACATCCCACTTATTTATTATCAAGTTGCACATTTTATATTGAGTCCCTGCTTCTTAATCTGTAACATTTTACTTATAAAGTTGTTTTGAGGATGAAATGAGAAAGCATTTCAAAAGCCCTTGTCTAAAGGTAAGCACAGACTGAATGGCTGTCATTCCTATTTGTCCCTCACATTCAGCAGTTCAAATGACTTTGCTAAAAATCCAAAGGAAGAGGGAAGTCTCAATGTGGAAAGCAAACTGTAAATGTGCTCCTTAAGCAGAAAAATCAAACCAAACCAAACCCATTGCTGTGGAGTCGATTCCAACTCATAGAGACCCTTTAGGAAAGAGTAGAACTTCCCTACAGGGTTTCCAAGGCTGCAATCTTTATGGAAGTGGACTACCACACCTTTGTCCCATGGAAAGGCTGGTGGGTTCCAACTGCTGACCTTTCAATTAGCAGTTGAACACTTTAACCACTGTGCAACCAGGGTTCCCTTAAGCAGCAAAAGGGTGGTCTAATTGAATGGGCTTATTGCTCCTGCAGGCCTTTGGGTAAGGTCTAACTTAACCTAAAGCTTCAGGAACTCCTTCTGTTCCTTCGACTCTTCAAGAGGGAGTAGTACCTTGGGAAATAATCTCTTGAAGAATTAATTACTGCAATCAGAAGAGAAGGAATAAATACTCTGCCAAACATCTCAAATCCCAAATTTGATTTCCAATATGGTCCTCTGATGATAATACTAATTTATTGAAACATCTCAGCGCCTAAAATGTTATATTCAAATTATGCAATTACAAGTACTGACTGTGGGAAGCTATGAATGTTCAACAGAGCACATAGCTGAAAATAATATTCGGGATTCATAATTAAATTGAGATATTATTAAAAGTAAGTTTTGGAGTGTAAGTAGTTTTCCCTAAAAGATAGATTGGAGCAAGTATAACTTCAAAAAAGCAAAATATTTCATAAATGCATTTAGGATTTCTGAACATGAATATTAGAAACCTCAGAATCAAGATATACTACATGGAGAAGTTTGATGTCATTTGGCCAGATTGGAAGATGATGGAAGACGTTTGGTTTATCACATATTCTAGTAGTTACTAAAAGAATTAATATAGACCAAAATTCAATTAACATTAAAATGTTATCTGTATTTTTACAAGAAAAAATGTTGAGGCTTTCAAAACAATTTATGATAATGTTAACACATTTTATCTTTGCAGCCTAACAGTGTCTTATGGTCATTTGTCTTAGTCATCTACTGCTGCTATAATAGAAATACCACAAGTGGAAAACTTTAACAAAGAGAAATTTATTCTCTCACAGTCTAGGAGGCTAGAAGTCCAAATTCAGGTCACCAGCTCCAGGGGAAGGCTTTCTTTCTTTGGCAGCTCTGGGGAAAGTCCTTGTTATCAATCTTCCCCGGTCAAGGAGCTTCTGGATGCAGGGACCCCGGGTCCAAAGGACTTGCTATTTTCCTGGCTCTTCTTTCTTAGTGGTATGTGGTCCCCTGTCTCTCTGCTCACTTCTCTCTTTTATACCTCAAAAGAGATTGGCTTAAGACACAACCTAATCTTGCAGATTGAGTACTGCTTCATTAACATAACTGCCACTAATCCCATCTCATTGACATCATAGAGATAGGATTTACAACATATAGGAAAATCACATCAGATGACAAAATGGTGAACATTCACACAATACTGGGAATCATGGCCTAGCCAAGTTGACAGATATTTTTGGAGGACACAATTTCATCCATGACATCATCGTTATGAAAATCAACCTTACTTCCTGCAAAAATAAGCAAAGATTGATGAATAAAGCATAGGCTTCTAAGAGTCCTTCTTTCTGACGTCTGTATTTAAGAAATTACTAAGAATCCTTCTTTCTGACATCTGCATTTAAAAAATTCCTAAAAGTCCTTCTTTCTGACATCTCTATTTCAGAAATTTCCCAGTCTATAAGAAAGTCAAGAATATTTCTTAAGTAACCAAAATTTTCTATAAAGCATTTGCATTACTAAAGTGATAGAATAGGGAAAGGGAGGCCTAATCTTTATCCTCAGAGAGTTTACCACGTGGACATGAAAGGTTGCAAAGGTTTCAGAATTGATGAGTCGCTTTCCATTATGTGCCTCTGCTGGGCTGGTCCCCAAGTTCCCCAGCAAAACATTGTGCACATGTGACCAAAGCCCATGAAAACAAGAATTGATTCAGTTCAATTTCTTCTTTACAAGTAGGATCCTTTCTCCATCTTTCTCCTCAAGGGAACAGCCCCCACTTCACCCCTTGTTCTTTCTAATTGTTATTTATTTCTGTGAGTATGAGTTTGAGTTTTCCTCTCCCATTTTCCTCAAAGTTTCCATTTTTCAGGTATTCATTGAATGTGATCAGAGAGATTTTTATGGGAAAGGCACTATGTAGGCACAGTGTGATACAAAGATGAATAAGACATTGTCTCTCACACATGAAGTTTATAGTCTATTTGAAGAACCAACACCTGTGTATAAAGTAGAGGCCAGGAAAAGTTGGTTGGGGGGTAGTAAGTGGAAGGAAGATGCTAGATATTTTGAGTCTGAGATGCTAGTGGAGCATCAAAAAACATACTCCACTGGTAACAAGAAATAAAGGAGTTGAAGTTAGGAGGAATGATAAGGTTGAAAATAAGTCTGAGAACAATCTATAGAGAGATGATAATGGAAGTTGTGAGGATAGGTAATATTATAGCAGAATTCTTCAACCATGGCACTATTGAAGTTTTGGGTCAGACAATTCTTTCTTGTGGGGTGCTGTCCTGTGCATTGCAGATGTTTAGCAGCATCCCTGGCCTCTACACTCAAGATGTCAGTAGTATTCACTGGCCACTTATGATAACAAAAATGTCTCCATATGTTGCCAAATGGCCCCAAGGGGCAAAATTGCCCCCAGTTGAGATAGATTAGAGTGACTCTGGATTACAGAGACTGAGAGAGGTTGTGTAGGATGAAAAGAAGAAGACAAAGGACAAAATTTGGTGAAATATGTTTATGGGATGGGAAGAAGAGCAGAAGAAAAAAGGAGATAGAGAAGAGACATTCACTGAGGGAGTAAATGCTATCCTAAAACTCTGAGAAAGGGAAAGGACTTCAGTTTTGTGTATAAAGTTAATCTTGTTGGATAGCTAGTATGTGCACAAACATACCCATACATGTGGGCACCGTCTGTATGAATACACACAGGGAGAATTTATATACAGACAAAAAGTAGATGTTGAGTGAAGGAAAGAATATTTTCCTAAACGCTTTCTTTATTCATTCCTCTTATTTAATAAAATAGTCCAATTTTATCAAATGATTGCAAACTTCAGATTAATTCTTTTTGAAAAGGGATATTTAAGTCAAAACCAACAAAATTGGAAGTAACTATAACTCTGCTTCCTTCTCCCCCTCCTTGCCAAACTCATGCTCTATAATTTAGGCCTCTGGTATATTCAAGCTATCTCAAGAAATATGTAGATAAACTCAGTTATACATGACTTGCAATGATTGGGAAGACATACTGTGTTTCCTCTACTGATGTTCTTTACAAGTTAAAGCGAGAAAAATCCTCTTTGATTTAAGACAATGAGTGAAATTTTAAATTGCTAATTGTGCTAATTTGGGAATCAGCAAGACTTGGAAGAGAGTTTTGTTTTGTTTATTGGATGTGTCTTCCCCAGAACCCCAGAAATTGCCTACTTTGGTGGCTTTGATCTGGAAGTCTTAACCTATTGGATTTACTTAAGTGTCTGTTATACTTACTAGAAGAATGTCCTTCCTGAGTTAGCCCCTGCCTCTGCCTCTAGAGAGAAACAGCATCTAGGATTCTCTACCAAAAAAAAATCTTAGGGTTGGGGAGCATTGCCTAACTATGTGCAGGAAACAGGCTTAGGGTAGAAGAGTCAGGGCGGAAGATAGTCCCTGTGACAATCATTCTCAATGCCTTGCGAAACCAGGGATAAAACATGCCGTATATAACGGGATTGAAGGTTGAATTGAAATAAGCCAGCCAGAAGAAGGCATGGGACAAATTTTCAGGGGTTGCAAAATTAATGAAAGGGTCTATGACAATCATGACAAAGAAAGGTAACCAGCACAACAGAAAAACTCCCATGACTATGCTTAATGTCTTGGTGGCCTTGCTTTCTTTTTTGGATGAGTCCTTTATTTTGCTTTCTGACCCAAACTGTTTCATCTTAGGCCCTGTGCCAATTTGCTTAGCATGCTTCCTGGCTACTGTGAAAATGTGTATGTAAATGCCCACCATTACTGTGCCAGGGAGAAAGAACGCTATAGAGGAGGCCAGAATTCCCCAGAGCTTGTTAAATATCAACATACATGAACCTGTGCAGTCGATGGCTGCAATAAAATCTTCTGCACCAATTATGTTTAATTCTGAGAATACCAAGCCAAAGGCAAAAAAGGTAGGGAAGGACCAACTGATAAGTAGAAAGACCTCTATGACAGGGATGGTAATTTTGGTGACATAATGCAGTGGGTCACAAACAGCATAGTAGCGGTCAACTGAGATGAAGCAGAGATGAAAAATGGAGGTGGTGCAGAGCATGATGTCTCAGCAGCTGTGGACTTTGCAAAAGAGGTCTCCAAAGTACCAGCAGGACTCAATGGACCTGATCATACTGAAGGGCATGACCACACAGCTCAGCAAAAAGTCGGTGGTGGCCATAGAGAGGATCAGGAAGTTGGTGGGGGAGTGGAGTTGCTTGAAGTGGGCAATGGAAATGATGACGGCCATGTTGTTGCCTAGCATGGTCATCACTATAGCCCCAGTCATGACCACGTACATGGCAAAGGCACTCAACACAGACCTCACATTTTTAGGGCATGAATTGTTAACAAAAGCAAAGCAAAATTGTACTTCTAGTGATTTCCAAGGATCAGGTGAATTCATAGTCTTTGTCCCCTGGGTACAATGAGGCTTTTTCAAAAATACAGCGTTCCTCTCATTTCTACGTAAGAAAGGAGAAAACAATAAAAATTATTGGCAGGGCAACTTTCACAAAGGCCAAGACAGTCTGCATGTCCAGTTCCAAGTTTAAACTCACTACTGGCTAGGAGCAGCGCTTCCAAAACCTTAATATTAATGCACAAGAATCACATAGGGGACCTTTTTAAAACACAGATTCTGATTCTGGGGTGGGGCCTGAGAGTCTGCATTTCTCACAAGGTCCCAGAAGATGTTAATGCCGTTAGTCCAAAGACCACTCCTTAAGTAGCTAGGGGCTAAAGGAGAATTGAGTTAATGAACCCAGTTAAAACCACCTGAGTAATCCAGATACTGCATGTACTGGTTCCACTAATATGTAGCCCTTACTCAGGAGGTTCCCATTTCAAATCCACAGACAAATCAAGAATTCTACCTGTACCAATTATATTAACCAATTTTCTGGATAAAAGAACCTGAAGAATTACTAGGGGCTCTGGCTGAACATCATGCTTAGTAAAGTAGAGGGTCAGCGAAAAAGAGGAAGACCCTCAACAAAATGGATTGACACAGTGGCTGCAACAACCGGCTCAAACAGCAAAGATTGTGCAGGCGGCGCAGGACTGGGCAGCGGTTCTTTAAGTTTAAAGTAGGGTTGCTATGAGTAGGAACCGACTCAACAGCACCTATCAAGCACAATAACAACTGGTATTATTATTTAATTTTTAGATGAAACAATAATTACAGTCTTAAGATTGTACTTTTTAAAAAAAATTTCTCTCGTGGGCATTTGTAAATGCTTTTGACACTGTTGTTTATTACATACAAATCAATAAGGAAATATTTCTCTCCCCAGCGTGAACAACATAAAAAGGATTTAGAGTAACGTTATGGTAACTTTAAAATATGCTAAAGGTGACGAGGTTATACATGAATAATCTCAAAAAGAAGGAAAAAATACCTCAAATGATAGATTCTATCAATCTTGCCGATTATCTTCTGTCACTTACCAGCTGAATTCATGAATTTAAATTTACATTGAGATCCTCTTGTCCGCAGATTCCAGGTTCTATATTCATAACAAATTTGACACATAGGAGTGTTCATTGTTTAATCTGTCATTTGATAGAATTTATGACGTTGCCTTTATAAGGTAAAAATAATGAGACTGACTCACCCACAGTATGACGCGGGTTTGATTTGTATTTCCAGGGCTGGGGCTGGATGTGTAACTATGACAACCAATGGCAAGCATTTGTGAGATCTAAGGCCAGGTTGGAGAAGTGAACTTTGGCCTGAGAATACACTAAAAATCTCTGTTCCATAGGTCCATAGGGAAAACGAGTCCAAACCACATCCTCACAAGATTGACTTGGAAAAGACATTACTGAGAATACAAGTATCTTTGAAAACACTATTTCCACTAAATAGCTACTCTAGCTGTATAAATATTCCCACTGTCTGTGTATTATTTGAAATCTTAACATTATGGCATGTTTTATCTTCTCTGCATGTAGTAATTTAATTTCTCCGATTAGCATTTTTCTTTAGATACTTTTTAATTGTGCCAATCAGGTATTATGCAATTGAGATGAACTTGAGAAACCAAAACATACAGAAGCAAAATGTAAGAAAGACAAACACTTATTCAGCTCCTTTATAAACTGCAGACTATCATTTTCGGAACTCAGAGCACAAATTATTTCATTACTTACCACGAGGTTCCTCAGCTCTAAGATGCTGACTATAATGAAATACTATATACTTACTTACCTTTTTTAATAAATTAACTTTAGCCTGCCTTTTATTGATTTTGTTTTTGTGAATATTCTTTCTTTTTAATTATCTTTAAAGGTAGCTATCAATAACCACAATATTATTTAAGCACTCTCACTGTCTATCCATAGACATAGCATTTCCCATCCAAGAGAGCACACTCTTGAATATTTTGTTTTGTAGTCTTTGAAGTTTCATATTCATATTCGAAAACCTAATCCCTGAAAAGACTGTGTAATTTAACCTCCTAGGTTTGTAATGGGGTAAAACAACTGGGCAATCTGCTCCCTTAAAGCTTACAGCCTAGGAAACCCTATGGGGCAGTTCTATTCTGTCCTATAGTCACCTAGGGTCACTATGAGCCAGTATCGACATCAAGGGTACACAACAACAACAAGATTTGTAAAGTGAATTTCATACTATTTTATTTTGTTTGTTTTTAAACATGGTATGAAACAGCTGCTAGAAGCTGACAGTATTCTCTCACATTCCTGCTGCATGGTTCCATACTCTAGGGAACTATTTAAACATTTAAGTGCTAGATTAAGACAAGAAAATAGAGCAAAGTACACAACATCTATTTTTAAAAGAATTACACAGGTGAATTGTAAATCTAATGTCAAAGATAATAATAATTTTCAATTTCTACCTTCGGCTCTTGACTCAAAATTAACAAAAGTAAGTAAACAAGTTGCAAGTATGACTGCTGGTCTACTGCTTTGGTTTAAAAACAGTTGTCAAAAATTAAATGGAGTTAGGATTTGGTTTTTTATTTTAATATTTAACAGAATAGAGATACCTTTCTATCACTTCCAAAAAAGATACACAAAGTAATTAAAAAAATAAAATAAATTTAAGAATGTAGGTAGTTACTAGGGGAGAGGTGTTTCGACAATCCTAGAAATGTTATCATGGGATGTTGTCATACTGGTTTTTAGCAATAACATTTCCCCAAGCAGCAGTGACAAAGGACCAAATTAATGACAGAATTACAAACCATCACTTAATGAAAGAATAGGAAATTGTCATTTATTTCTACCAAGAAGTAGAAAGAGACATTGGCTAACAGTTCTGGGGTGAAAATTGTATAGTATTTTTTTAAGTGTATAAAATAGAGAAATAGATATGAATACACAATCACGGAACAGACACAAGAATTCTAAAATAATAACTTTGAATATGTAAAAGTTCCTCAGAATTTCAAGGAAAAGATGAAAAGGAATTATGTAATATTTTTTTCCTTGAGCATAAATGTCTAAAATTATATTAAGGGTTATATATTTACTTGCCTCAAACAAGAAAGGAAAATATCCAATAGGGCTCAGTAATTTATAACAAATTAAATGGGGGGGGGAATTTAAAAAAATCACACCTCTTTACTAGGTGTGATTTCTCTTCTCTTTACTGGTTTACAGCCCAAGCACTCTACCTCTGGGATTATTTCTGCTTAAATTTTATTTCATCTTGCTTTAATATATCTCACCCATATAATAATTTCTTAAATAAGAGATATGACCCATAAATTAAATTTAAGGAAGATATGCTATAGGTGTTCATATCGTTGCCTCTTTAGAATTTCGGAGATTTTAAAAAATGATCTAGGTTTATTTATGTCAATGACTGTTTTAAGTGTGGTCCTTTCAACATACATTAAAAAAAAAAAAAAGAAGAGATAAATCTATCTGATCTTTTTCCTCTCCTAATATATTCTCTTTTGGTTTACCAGCATCTCTTTCACTGATTAGGTAGTTTGAGTTAAAATAATTTAAAAGGGAATTAACTGTTTTACTAAGATTTCTTACTATTCAAGTGAGCGTGGTGCTCCATCACTCCCTGCCTTGCCGATGGTCTGGTAGGTAGGTCCATGGCAGGCTGTGCTCTCATCAGTATTTATACACAGAATATGCCTCTTGAGATGCTTTACCTTGTGTCCTGCTTTTGACGGTTGTGCCCTTTAACAATCTTCAGTGTGTTGCTGGCAAATAGATTACTGCAAGTCCTCAGAGAATTGGCTCCAGGAAAGGCAATCGGTTTTGTGCTATCATTGCAGTGATCTCAGGAGGGATGACATGGACTGGTCTTATACAGAGCCAAAGGTGGGAAAGAACAAAAATAAAGGAAGAAATGAGAGAAGAAAGGAAGGAAGGAAGGAAGCAAGGAAGGAAGAGAATGAGAGGAAAATTTAGTTCAAACTCACCAAATGCTCAGTCCACATATTACCAAATGCTAGACAGTCTCTTCAAACAGTGAGTTCCTTACTTCCTAGTAAAAATTTGACTCAGTTATATCTTTTCCTTTTGCTGCCATGAACAAATCAGTGTGTTCATTCATGGTGCAGTTCTTTAAGTCCATAGTTTGCTGCATAGAGGTTCTAGCCTAAACAAAGTTTCGTAGCATATGGAGGAAAAGTAAAAATTCCCATCACCATGTGAGAATTGTAATGGCTGTGGACTGTATTTTCATTAATGTGGCCTAGTTTCATATACTAAGCTTAAAATAGTTTACACTGATCATTTTATGGTCCATCATGACCATAAAATAGATATAGTAAAATACAAAATCTTAAGTGTTTATATCAAAATTGAATCAAATTATTCATGTACATATTAACTGGTAAAACCAGCTTTTTTACATCCTCTAAGGACTTTATAAAATTAAAAAGTGTTGATGAGAGAGGATGGTTGGAGGATGTTGGGTTTTATTTTTATGCTCACCCGGGCTTACAAAACTTCTCTTTCTAAACTTCTTCCCACACAGAGAACTAATAACTTTATAGTATATTTTTGTAAGCAGTCCTGGGTGGCACTAACAGTTTGTTCTCGACTACTAGCCTAAAGGTTGGTGATTTGAACCCTCCCAGCAGGGCCACAAAAGAAAGGCCTGGTGATCTGCCTCCTAAAAATTACAGCCTTGAAAATCCTATAGAGCAGTTCTACTCTGTAATGTATCAGTCAGGGTCAAGTCAAGAAAATAGAAAGGAAAATTCTTATTTTAACAGGAATAAATAAATTTAGGGAATTATTTTAAGAGGTATTGGAGGACCGAAAAATCAAAAAGGGAACAATGAGGAAACAGGGATAGTAACTGCAGGAAATAACTACCCCCTGTAACCTGACCCTAAGAATGCCAGTAAATTTCCATTAGTCCTTAAACTAGCCCAAACGAGATTCGGCCCTCCCCACATGCTCAGAAGGGCCAGCCGTGACCGTTAATTGACCGCAACAGCGGAC